GTGTTGCTACCTCCAGGGGCTTCTAATTCCCAAAAAATAACTCTTGCACGCCTCGCGTGCCTATGTTTACATATAGTTAAGACGCTGCGCAGTGTCTACTATTCTCGACCTAAAAGTCCCGGGAACTAGCGATCGGCTTGGTCGCTAAGCCAGACGAGGATTCAAAATGGCGGGAGAAACGAAATTGCGGAGAAAATGATCGCCGATGAATAAGCATGCAAACTTTAGACGTTTATAAGAAGGAAGAAGGAAAGATTTGGCAACGAAAACCATCTCCTTCTCCGGAGGAAGGGTAAAGCCATTCTTGGGTTTGTACTACAAAAACAGCTCAAAATAAATTGTGTTACCATTTGCAATTATTTTTGGAGAACTATTACATACGTTACTAACCAGTGCGCCATTGACGCTTTTCAAGCTAATCCGAGTGCTATTCACTGCTAACCAGAAATATAGAGAGTCTTTAGCCTGAAAACAATCTGTTCGAAGCCTGAAAAGCGCCACGGTTAGCCTGAATGGCGCCCCAGTTGGCCTGTTTACGATTAATTCTCTCAAATTGTATTGGTAACACGATAAGTGCATAGTCGTAAATTGAAAACGTTCTGACTGCTAGATACGGAGTATTTCAAAAACGCTGTCCGGCAACGGCTGCCTGACATCTAGACACATCGATTATTGCTTCCATTCGTTTGTTTCTCTTTAGGTTGATAGTCTGCATAAGTCATTCCACATCAAGTGCGTTTTCTTTGCAAGGAAGGAATATCAGATTTCTTCGAACGGCGTTTAATACTATTGGTGAAGCCTTTGCTGCCGGTGATCACCAAGGAAACATTTTTGTCTTTGATTTGGCCAAGAATAGGTAAGCTCAATCGATTCAGTTCATTGCATTTAGATTAAGGACTGAGGTGACTGTTTGATAACTATTTAACAAGTAGACTCGAAGCCTGCAAGGGCTACGGGTCAATAGCCCATGAGGCGAAGCTGAATGGGCTATTGACCCGTGGCCTTTGAGGGCGAAGGGTTCAACTGTTTTAGTATCACCCAACTAGTTGGACAGAAAAGGCAATAATAAAGTTAGCAAATGCAAGTTGAAGAAATATTTTTTTGGGAATAAAACAAAAGAAAGTGTCACGCTCGATTGCGCCAATTTCGCTACTCGAGGACTATTACTAATAGTCCTCTAGTAGCGCAGCCAATTAAAATGCAGGACTTGCATTAGCCCACCAGTTGGGTGATACTAAAACTAGATAGTAAAGCTCTGCATCAGTTACTTTCTTTTCTCCACTGCAGTTGTTTACTTCAATGTACAGAGCAGCTGTGTACGTTTCACACTGGGGACATTGTTTATTTATTACTTTCTTTATTTCCTTTTCTGCCTCACAGGTTCTCATTAATTCACAAAACAGGAACTCCATGTACTGCCATATCCTTCTGTCTACGGAGAAAAAATGAAGTGTTGGTGGCTCTTGCTGATAATTCTCTAAGATGTTATGATACAGGTCCATTAATAATAATAATTAATTAATATTAAAACAAATAGCATTATCTCAACTAGCCATTCCCATTCAATTCAGTGAACTTGCTTTGACCAATCAATCAGGGTCAATCTTACTTGCTTATCTTGGATAGAGTTAAAAGGCTCTTTATCAAGTTTGCAGTCTGCACTGTGAGATACACACCAAGATTTTATCCCTTCAGTCTATGGCCTAGGCATGACACATGCAGGCCATAAATGGTGGATTCAACTCTTGAAGCTCAGAGCTTGGAGTGAGAAAATGACATATAAGAGATGTATCTTAAACAAGATTGCCCTTATAAGAAAACAAAAAATATTTCAAGTTTAGACCCTGTCAAAATGGAGCAAATGCAGTGTGGCTGAGAGATATAACAATGCATATTAATTGCATTTTACTCGGGATCAACCTCGTTTGTCTGCAGAGTAACATTCACCTAACTTGGCGCTTAATCCCTTGTATTGAGAACAAATGACTGGGAAAATGTTGGGCAGGCAATTATGATTTGACTATTTTCATTAGCTTTGGCTCAAGTCAAGAAGAGTTATAAAAGTAGCCAGTCTTCAAGTTAGCACAGTTCACCAAGATCACACTTTGTCATTTATATTATTTTGATTCAGAATCCCATGAGTTAGTGAGCTGGATGAGAGGTCATGACTCATCAATTCACAACATATCAGTCCATGCTTCAGGACGTTATGCGCTAACATCATCTAACGCTGTAGCTCAACTGTGGGACTTGGACACCTTTTCTCGCAAAAGGACTTTAAATGGAGCCCAGACTGTTGGGATTCAGCAGGTTTGAATTTATGTAAACTCATTAATTTTATAAACGGCTTTTAGGAAAAGAAGTGTTTGATCTTAAGTTCAATAATATCTTCACTTGTTGTTATTTAGTTTCAAGGGTTTCGTTAAGGGCCAGGTACCGGGCAAATTGACCAGTTAGGAGGATGATTTTGCCTACCTTGTTTGACCAGAAAGTTTTTCTTTTAAAGAAGTTCAATTCAAATAGTTTCACCTGCCTTTGAAAACCAGTTGCCACCCTGCTGGAAATGTCAATGAAACCCCTGAGTTTCTCTAGTAATTATTATTTTTTTTTTACTATTTACTTGTGCAGAGTGAGCAACATTTCACCCTCTCTTTTTAATACCAAAACAATGCTCAAACTAATAAATGACAGGAACAAAGAAGATCATCGGCGTGGGGATGCTGTCTTGAAAGATAACCAAATTCTCAAAATTAATATGGATGTATTTCAAGTTCATAAACTGAAAGGATTTTGGGATAAAGTTTTAAAAAAAGACGTATTCTAAGTGGGAATTTGGAGGTTGGCGGAATGGCCAGAAGGTAACTCTTTTAATGTCAGTTTTTATTTCTGTTTAAATGTCAGGTCCTTTTCTTGCCACTGAGCAATACCATAGTAACATGTTTCAAAGACGACAGCTTGTTTGTTTGGGATTCAGAAACACTGAAGTGTAAATTTCAATTACCTGTGCCACCTGAAGAAGCTAAACAGCCCCATTACGGGGCACTAGCCACTCCGAGGGATGGACGGCTACTTGTAGCTGGAGGAAGGTAGGGTCTGCTGATAACAAAAAATAGAACAAAAATACTGTCAGAGGTGTTAAGTGTACAAGCTTTATTTGAACTCTTGGATGAGGTGCATTTAATTTATTGCAGCAAAATATGCTGGCAGTCTGCAATATTATTTTGCTGCCTTCGGTGAATCATTTTCTGCTGAATTTATACTGAAGTTTTCTAATTCAGACTAAAAACAAATCCATCTCTGTCATTTGCTTTCTATTCCTTCTGTTATCCTGCCTGCCAGTGCTGCTACAAAGCATTTTGACAAGACTGTTATAATAATGCTAAATTATTTCAATAATTATAATGATTATTTTTTGTATTTCTATCACCACCCTCTCGTTTCGTTCTGCAGTTCTTCATGTGCAATTATGCTAATATTCATGTAGCTTGCATTTTCCTTAGGTTGTCAGAAAGAAACTTCTTTTCTACAAATTTTAGTTAAAAAATTCTATATTTTTGGTGTCAAACTGTCAATGGCAAATACAGGGCTGGGTGTAAGCTGCACATCAAATCACATGTTCCATTTCCCAGGTCACGTTTCCTTCATGTTTGGAGTCTGGAGAACAAGCGTTTGCTCCATGTCATTCAACTTCCTGCAAGAGTGCGACTTGTGAGGCAGCTGGAATTTATAAGTAACAGCTTTGATGGAGGAAGCAGTCAGGTATCTAATAAATAAAATAAATACCTCTTACTAACCGAGTTTGAGGACCGTACTGTAAGTTACCTACCAGGTTTTTTCCCCATTGATTTATGGCCCAAGGGCAAAGTGCTTACAGTAC